CAGACAGAAACAGATCAAACAATAAAATCTGCGTTTACGATGAAAACTGAAATTTGGTTTCACACAGACTCATTTGATTTATTCTCATGCAGACAGTGAACACAACGAGGGGGGGGGCGCCATCGCAGCTGCAAAGTGCAAAAGGCCACACGACAGAGGACGAAGAGAATAAAAACACACGGAAGGTTAAAACCTTCGTCTTCCTCATCATCAATAAAAGGCACATAAAGGGAAGCAGAGCTAACACACAGTTCACCTTGTTGATATTTGCGTCAGGAGGTTTACAACCATTCCAGAACAGAAACCGGCTAAAGCCCCTCCGGCCTCCAGGGGCCCCTCACGCCTTCCAGGGCCTCGGGCCTCCAGGGGCCCTCGGCCTCCAGGGGCCCCAGAGGAGGATGAGAGTTTGTCCAGTTTTAGTTCAATTTCTAATTTATTTATTTCCTAAAAACGTCCTGATTTTGTTCCAGAGTTGTGGAAATATTTGGGTTTATTCCACATTTGGTGTTTTCAGATCACCGTAACCAAAACATCTGGTTCAAATGTAGGAAATATAAGGACAGTTTAGGTTCTTGGTTCCCATCAGTTGCCAGAGTGTTTGGATTATAACAAATAAAATTTAGGATTCAACAAAATAAAAAAATAAAAAAATCATAATTCAGAAATTATAATTATATAAATATGTAACAAATAAATACTTTTACTACAAAAATTGCAAATTCGGCCGAAAAAACAAATTCATTAATTATAATCCTTGGATTAAATGTTTTTTGGGGGATTTTAACAAATCCCAAAAAAACAAAAATAACAAAATCACATTTTAAAAAATATAACAAATCAAAAAATGCTGATAACAGCAAATGTTTCAATGCTTCATCAAATCCTGAGATTAGAACATCTCAGAGGACGCTGTAATAAATATGGATGATAATAAAAATCAGAAGGAGCAGAAAACCAAATCAGGACATTTTTACTGCAATAAACTATTAAACTGTTGTGAACTCTGACATTAAACTGGACAAATTCAAATCCCTCTGAGGTCTCTAGAACGCCTTCAAACGGCTCTACTCTGTTACCACAGATTAACACACAGACAGAGACAGAGACACACACACACATTAACGAGCTGGTGAACGTGAACATCGGTTTGTCTCGTGGAGCTCACAATAGAAACACAAAGCTCATCACCGTCAGGAAGTTTTGGTTTAATCTCATTTATCAATCTCATTTCCTCGATCGCTCCAACATCTGCAGAGGAAACGGCGTCCGGTCGGGATGTAAATACCTCGCCGACATGTGTTCAAACACTTACAGCTCCTCCCGCTGTACCTCTCGTATCTGCACTGTCAACAACGTTTGTGTCGGAGGTCACTCATCAAATGTCACAAACCGTGGGAGGAGTTTGGTTCAGAGAAGATGTATAGACACTTTTAACCTTTTTAACTTGTGTTTGAACTCATGGGGAAAGTATTTTAAGTAAATTTAAGTAATAACTTTTGGAAACCTTGTGGAACTGTTGGCAAAGTAGAAAAACAAAAAGCAAACAGATTAAACTTCCCGTTTCACCGGTTCAGAGAGGAAACCACATTCAGACGAGAACAAACTAAACACTAACAGAAATATGTTGTTGCACGAGGCGAGGCCACAGGAAGTGAAAGGAGCCGGGCAGAGGAGGCCGCCGACCAATCAGGAGGAGCCGGTCCGTCGGTGGCGTCTTTGTTTTCTGGCAGAATGTGAGCGAGACGAGCTGAAGGTTGGTTTTATTATTTAAATATAGAAAACAAAAAGGAAATTGTCTAATAGAACAATGGCCAAACATCAGGGACCAGAAAACACTGAATGTGTCAAAAAAGTCCATTAAGTCTGTATGATTGTTAAAAATTATAATAAATACATCATACAGACAGAAAATCGTATAAAAAGTTCCCTAAACATGAAAATAATCTGCTCAAAATTCATTCAAATCACTGGTTTTACACAAACTTCCAGCAGTTACAGTTCATTGTACAGTTGAATTATAATATGGAAAAAGGTTGGGAACCACTGCATTAAATAGTTTCATCTACACACCACAGTGGCTGGAAAACTTCAAACGCCTTTGCTGCTTTTAGTATTTCACCAAATAAATCAACTTTTTTGAAGCAAAAAGTAAAATAAAATCTGATTTTAAACACAAAAAACAGAA